GGTTTGTTTACAATCGTGTTATTATGATTTCGTGAGTCCTGCTCATCTAATTTTACACGAAGAGAAGGTGGAATATAATTCCGAACTGATAAACAGAAAGACGATAATGTCTACCAGGGGAAAAAAATAATGTGAAGACTGCAGACAGTAATCAGCGATATCGTATATCACAACGCCTATTAGCACAGAACCAGCAGATCTATCGTCTATCACAACATCCAGTAACACCATCAACAAATCTATCGTATAATAGAGCGAAAAACCAACGTCAAAGACCTGGGAGTGATCATGTCGGAGGATCTCACCTTCAAGGACCATAACATTGTATCAATCGCATCTGCTAAAAAAAATGACAGGATGGATAATGAGAACCTTCAAAACTAGGGATGCCAACTCCATGATGACACTCTTCAGATCGCTTGTTCTAACTAGGCTGGAATATTGCTGCACACTAACAGCACCTTTCAAGGCAGGTGAAATTGCTGACCTAGAAAATGTACAGAGAACCTTCACGGCACACATAACGGAGATAAAACACCTCAATTACTGGGAGCGCTTGAAGTTCCTTAACCTGTACTCCCTGGAACGCAGGCGGGAGAGATACATGATTATATACACCTGGAAAATCCTAGAGGGACTAGTACCGAACTTGCACACGAAAATCACTCACGACGAAAGCAAAACACTCGGCAGACGATGCAACATTCCCCCAATGAAAAGCAGGGGTGTCACTAGCACGTTAAGAGACAATACAATAAGTGTCAGGAGCCCGAGACTGTTCAACTGCCTCCCAGCATACATAAGGGGGATTACCAATAGACCTCTGGCTGTCTTCAAGCAGGCACTGGACAAGCACCTAAAGTCGGTGCCTGACCAGCCGGGCTGTGGCTCGTACGTTGGATTGCGTGCAGCCAGCAGTAACAGCCTGGTTGATCAGGCTCTGATCCACCAGGAGGCCTGGTCACAGACCGGGCCGCGGGGGCGTTGACCCCCGGAACTCTCTCCAGGTAAACTCCAGGTCCAGGTATTACAATACCCAGTAACACCCTCACATCTATCGTACATCACAACGCCCAATAACACCTTCACATCTATCGTACATCACAACACCTCGTTTCACAAGAACCAGCGGACCACGAGACTGCAGGCACGCTTGATTAAGACTAAGTTATGGGCATACAGAAGTTCATCCTGTACAGATATCGCAGTTATATGGCTGCTGGTGCACAGCAGACTCCCACACACTGGTTTACCACAGCCATATACCCGTAATTAAGCCACCCCTGGCTTATTAGAGCCACATACACGTCATTCAGCTAACTCTGACTTACCAAAGCCATGTAAGTATCATTAAACCACCCCTGGCTTACCCGAGCCACATACCCGTCATTAAGCCATCACTGGCTTACCACTATCACAAACCTATCATAAAGCCACTCCCAGGCTTACCAGAGCCAAATACCTTTCATTAAGCCACCAGTGGCTTACCAGAGGCACATAGCCATCGCTAATCCACCCCCTGGCTACTAAAACCTAGTTAGGGATGGATAAACGGACATAAAAAAAAATATTGGAAAAAAATGAAATTGTACAGAATATACGAGATATAATGAACAAACAGATCCTTAAAAATCATTATTACTTTGCTTTGCTGGTAAACTGCTGAACTCTGGAAACTGTGCTTTGAGTAGTCTTCGTACAGACGTTTGTACAGTATGTGCAACGTGGTTTGTGTACTGTCAAGAACATAAAGGTACAATACCGTGACTGGAACAATACACAAATAATCCACACATAGGAGAGAGAAGCTTACGACGACGTTTCGGTCCGACTTGGACCATTTACAGTGCGACTTTGGTTAAGAAAGACATGTAAGCAAACACTGTGACATATTTATTAGAAAACGTTTCGGTCCTGGGACCTTGATCACTTCTCGGTCCCAGGACCGAAACGTTTTCTAATAAATATGTCATAGTGTTTGCTTACGTGTCTTTCTAAACCAACTTGTCGGTATTTATTACCAAGGTTTATACCAGTGTGACTTTGCTAATGGTCCAAGTCGGACCGAAACGTCGTCGTAAGCTCCTCTCTCCTACGTGCGGTTATTTGTGGTATATGTACCATGTTTTTGTACAGATGTTAGTAGACAAATCGCAACAGAGTGTAGTGAAGCCGTGGCTCAGTTGGCAGCGCACTCAGCTCACACACTGAGTGTCTGCGGTTCGATTCTCGGCACGGATAGGGGAAATGTTGGGCATGTTTCCTTATACCCACTGCTGCCCATGTTCACCTAGCAATAAGTAGGTGCCTGGGTGTTAGTCACCTTACACCTGATATCCCCGTTCACTTAGCAGTAAGTAGGTGACTGCGTGTTAGCCACCTTACACGTGATGTCCCTGTTCACCTAGCAGTAAGTAGGCACTTGGGTGTTAGTCACCTTACACCTGATGTCCCTGTTCACTTAGCAGTAAGTAGGTACCTGGGTGTTAGTCACCTTACA